TTTTTGTCCGTTGGACCGTGTATCGTGTTTGGGCCCATTAGGGGGCGCGTCCAGGGTAGGCGACAACCCTAAGACCTTTATAATCATACACCGCCGCCGTCATTAGGTTTTGGGGTATTACTTAGATTAATCTGTCAAGAACAGTTCCGCCGTTCATCGGTTCATGAGACCCTAACTTCGTGAGATTAATCTATTCATCTGTAATTTGGTTGTGTTCTTTCTTGATCTTGCTTGTGTTCTTTGTTGCGCAGGCAGGGATTATCCTTCTTGGCGAGGTCAACCTGGTCCGTGACTCGGTTGATAACCAGAGGAGTTATGGTGCTAAGATTGCAGGGTTCGATCTTTCGATCTGAAGCCGAATCGGTGTGTCATTCTCCGCCACAATGATAGTTACCTCTACCTGATGGAAGATCAGGATCCCCGTCCCCGTTACCACGTGCACGAAGTCGGGGCGGGCAGCGACGCAGAGGCATAGGTGGACGCGACGGCAGCGTGCTGTGGTGCGACAGTGACAGCGCGATGTAGCGAGCTGGCGTGCAATGCGGTGACAGGACGGCGGCGGCGCAGCGGCGCAGGCGGACACGACACAAGTGGCGTGGGTGCACGCAAGCGACCCAGCAAGCACGACCGCGGCCAACAGCAGCGGCGACGCGACGTAAGCGGCAGGCCATAGCCAGGCTAGAACGGCCTCGACCGGCCAGCACACGCGACCGTGCGCGCGACGCGGCGGAGCACGCCCAACAACGCGGTGACTGCGCCTACGCGATGAACTCGACCAAGAACGTGCGATGCATGCTTTTTAAAGCGTCCAATTCACTCAATCGGTTGACCCAACATCCAAACCAGCATTGCTATACCTAAGAGGGCATATGAGGCTACTAAAATAAGCCATAATGCAACACCACTCTTTAACCAAATCACTCTACAAAAATTGCCAAACCTAGCTTTGTCAACCCATTTTTCAGCCTTAGAAATTTGACTGTCTTGATCGGATTCGCGTCAAATTCAATTTCCAAGCTATTAGGTATGTTAGCTAGTGAATTCATTTTTTGACCGCATGTATTTTATCGTCATCTACAAAGTTTGTACTTCAAACTTTATTTAAGTAGCACATATATGTTCTATAGTATTTTCGCTCAATAAAAATTGGTTTAAAACCCTAAGTGATATAATGTAACTATGAAATTAACTTTCATTTCTTATTTCTATCGATCGTTTCGAGTTACAGAATTCGATCTATACACTATATTACATGCATTAACACATAACCATGATGCTCATGACATGTTTTAGCAAAAGATTTTTAGTGTAACACCGAGGGTGTTATATCTATCCATATAGAAATAAGTTTGAATAAGTTTTTTAATTTTGTATTAATTTTTAGATATTTTCATAAAAATATTCCTAGTCTGACTTACACCTCCTCAAACTTTCAACTTAGTCCGGTTTACCCCTCTAACGTGGTGCTACATCAACAAAACCACTATCAAAACCGCTAGGGTGCAAAAGTGAACGGTTTTCAAAAGTTGAGGGGTTAAAAATTAGTTTTATAGATCAGGGAGGAAAATTGGACAACCACAATAGTTGAGGGAGGTAAATTGGACTTCTTCCTAGTGACCAGGTGTAGGTCGAGATGGTGGACTAGAGGGGGTGAATAGTCCTTTTCTAAAACTAATTATGCTAGCTAGCCAATTTTACATGTGGAAATAAACTAAACGGTCTAACCAAAGACTATACCCATCACCTTACAAAAGATCCTAAGCAAGTTATGTCTAAGGTGCCTACTTAATGGGAGCTCACCCAAACAATTCTTGTTGTTAAGGTCACACAAACCTATACAACTAGTTAACTAGGCACACCGGGAGCTCTTATACATTGTAAGTGCAATCAAGCCCTGATTGTAGGTTTTTATGATAATGACCACATAGTTAGAGGACTAATGACATTTATCGAGTTGACAAGCAGGTGATATGTTTATGAGGATGACATATTGACATTTACCTTGGTGGAGCCCCCAATCACATAAGGACGCGGTGTTGGACTCAAAAAAGTTAAAAATCTTTTATATTTTGAAGTTGAGTATAGAAAACGCCGCACTATAAAGGAGATGCAATGCACAAGTTTTAATGTGCAACCAAGTGCGTATTTTACCCACTATACAAATGCTCAATCCAGCCAAGCCAGCTTGCACATAACTCCTATTGCTATCGACTAAATTGAATAGACTTTATATCATTCGAATTTGAATTCATATCCAACTAATTAACAATACCCATGTATAGTCGATCAAAAATTATAGTTCACTTTACTTTTGCAGCTTTGCAATGGAATTAACCCTCTATTCTAAATTATAGTTCACTGTACTTTTGTACCAAGTCAAACTCATTTAATCTTGACCAATTTTACAAAATGAAATACACCGACAACAAATTAGTTTCATTAAAATATTTATATGCATTTATTTGAACTTGTTGATGCTAGTTTATTTTTAAAAAAAATTAGTCAAAGTTAAAGAGAAAGATCTATAATTTGGAAGAGTATCAATGTGCCACATGCGTCGCTAGCTCGTGTGTCTCTAGGCAGGGTGGTGGCTAGGCACTCACTAGTACTCTCTCCGTTTTATGCCATAATATTAACTTTGTCCTAAGTCAAACATCACTATTTTGATAATCCATTTCAAAAAAAAATCCTTATAGTCAAACATTATGAAAGTATTTCTCATAATGAAATAAAAACATAAATTTTGTGTCATGAGCTATATTATTTTTTTCAAAATTGATGGTCAAAGATATAAATATTTGATTTAAGACCAAACTAATACGACATATATAAATTAAAAAAAAAGGAGGGAGTGCCATCAACGTCGAGGAGGTTCAGTCTTTCAGAATTGCGGGCAACCAGAGTTGAGAAGTCAGAGCCGTCCAATGGCCATGCTAAGCTTGCCCCAACTCGGCAAGTTACAAGGACTCCAAAAGTCCTGACCTCCTGCTGTGCACGCGAAATGAAAGCTCCAGATTGGTTTTAACTACACGTCAGGCCGGTGACATATTTTTTCGAATCTATTCTGCATATGACAGTGTAGCTTCTGGCGCTTTTATATTATGTCTTAAGAATCATATGGTATCTGACAGAATCTGAAACAGCTTCTGCATTTCGCCTATATATATCTGCAAAGCACGAGGATCGCAGCAGTTTCAGCCGTGCCGTGTGTGCATACCTACAAACAACCGACCAGTAGCATTCTGAATTCCAAGATGGGTGCAAAGCTTCTTGCAGTCTCGACACAGGGAGCCATAGAATTCAATCAACAAGATTAGAGTGCAACAGGAAAAGATATGCCAATGAGATTTCAAGCTATTGTATCAAAACTTTCAAGCGATGATTACACAGTACATACTTGAAAACTTCATACATTATAAATCTGATTCGAATCTTCAGCTGTTCATCACATCATATATTCATATGCTCAAACTTCAATCAAGCTAAGCATAAGAATCAAAAGAAGTAGAGAACTGGGCAATAGCCAATAGGCACACAGTGATACAGACAGTTTCACAGTTCAAGGTTCAAATATTATTTGACATATTTCATGTTTGTTATGGATGTCTCATTAAAAACATTTCTATGTAAAAAAGATCACACCTCATGAGAATACAGCCCAGCTCATTGTGTGCGTTGCATACATGCTGGAAGTGAGCGGTTTCTAGTTCTTTGGTCTCCTCCACATAGTGCTGGAACTGAGCGTAGCAAGGATTAAGCCAGGAGGAAATCTACGCCAGCAGCAATCCAACCCCAGGTGCACAGGAAACTCTGAAACCAACATAGTGACTCTGAAACCAACACATGCCAAACCAAAGGCCACACGGAAGCAATGACATGGCTCGATAAGATTGAAGTTTTGGTATATGGGAACAAAGACTATGGCAGATTCGTCTACCAAGTACTACTAAACAATATACATTACCATTTTATATACAATATATAATAACATGGCTTTAACCCTAACTCTACCACTGTTTGACGATCATTGGATTTTGAATTTGACAGAAAGGAAAGTTAAAATGCAATAGCATCTGACCATTTCCTGAAGGGCAGGCCTGGTAAAGTGGTGAGAGCTGTCTCACTGAGTCACCAGGTCGTGGGTTCTAAGCAGCCTCTCCGCAGATTTTGTGGGGGAAAGACTTGTCTCGGGTTATCCCTTCCCCAGACCCCACTCATGTGGGAGCCTCTGGCACTGAGTCTGCCCTTTTTTTTTATCTGACCGTTTCCAGAGCTGCTATCCTATAACCCGACAACAATGAAGATAATATGCTGGCTCCTACAGATGAAACAAAACGGTCGACAACAATGAAGACAATATGATGACTCCTAGAGATGAAACAAAGTATGGTCCCGTAAGGCCGTAACACATATGCACATGTTCGACATAGTAAAACAAGTATACCGCTACTAGGTTCTTGACACATAACAGAACCAAACAGGCACCATGAGCTGGCTGTTAGGCACAATGGCAACAAAGACCACATAGCCTGCATAGCCCTAAATAATTAATAACCGATTCTGGAGATCATGTTCCTAGGACTAGAAGGAGTGAACAGACATACAATATAATCGTTAATACTATGGTACTTCCCATGACTGAGTCCGGCATTGATTTAGTGGAATAATATATAGTAGTTAAGTCATAGTTGTTTCATCTTCATGTGGAGCATTCTGTCACTCCGTGTTGAAACAGGTTTGCGTTCTGTACAAAAGAAGAAGTAGAGATGGTCAGGGCTTAGTAGTTTAATAGATGGCAGGTGGGGGTACTTTTTTAAAAAAGAAACTGCAATATTTATGCACGCAACGTGTTAAATATGTATTGGGATCAGAATGATGGCAACAAAAAATATAACTGTAAGGGCAGGTGAAATAATATTTTCGTAATAAAAGGTATAACCACAGAGTGTAGTTGTGGTGGCGTAGGTATGTATTGGCCTGATCAGACTGTAGCTATGTTGTTACTGAGTTTTGCGGTTGCCACTCCTTGTTTCAGGCCTGGAACCTCCAACCTTTGGCCTGCATCATTTGGAACATATAGGGGGAGTGTGATATAGAGAGATTGAGGTTTATGAATATGTAGCCGGGCTGCGTGTGTGTACTTACTTTTTGGCTGGGTTCTCTAATGCTGAGGCAGGGTTTTCACTTGGACTGCTGCTATGGATTATGTCTGTGTCAGTTTTTTGGGCTCCTGTTTTGTTCTGCACCTGAAAGAGCAAATTAGTGCGTACAGATCAGTTGAGTGGCTTAAATGTGTGTACGGAAACCACACAGAACCACCTGGGTGGCTATGAAAGTGTGAAATGTGTGGATATTAAAAAAAACTGGGTGGCTCCTGTTTTGTTCTGCACCTCGATGCGGAACAATCGGAGTTAACAGTCAAGTAGACAGGTCCATAGCTGCTAACATTACACAGCCAAATATAGACTAAGAATAACTGAAGATACAGCAAATAGTTTGTGAACCAAACTCAAATTTTAACACCTGATAGAACTTAATGCAAGGAAATTGGAGATACACAACCAATTTTCTGAACCACACTGATTTTGCGACCCAAGCCCTGATGCTAACATGCAAGTATTTGACATGGAGAAAAAACATTGATTAATATGCACTTTCATTTGATCCTCCTGGTATCAGTTGGGAAACAATGAATCATATGATCCTATGAACATAGAGCACATCCTCTGTCCTCCCAGATTATCTTTCTCAGAACCTAGTTAAGGCTGTTGGAACCCATGTACAAAATGATCTGCTACTAAAATTGTCTGCATGAGTACAAATTAACTGTAGATGGGAATCAGATATCATAGTGGAAGAAAACAATCTCAGTTCGATGCGGTGAACATATGCCCACCAAAAGATGACTGAAACCGGAGAGCAATCAAATAGCCCTTAAATCTAAATTTAGTTGATGTGTTTCTCTGAAATCTAAAGAACAGAGCATCACGAAGAACAAAGGATTTTTATTTTACTCACGAAGCTGCCATAAATAATTAGTACTCCTAGAAACAACCTATAGCATGCATTTGTATTGGTTGAAGACCCTTTTTTTTTCTTGTCTAAATTAGTAACAACCATAAGATGAATTGGAACTGAATGCAAAGAAGACAAATTACAGTGTGTTTGTCAAATTGTATTGTGAACTCACATACTTGTTCTTCCAATTCGAAGGTGGACAGTAGCAATCCAAAACTGCAGCAGACATGGCATTGTCCTATCTGACAAAAGCAGCACCTTGCCCTATGTGGTGACCCATACCATTTGACCACACATGGCCTACTCCTATATACATATATAAGAAGAATACACTGATAGTTAGTCTACATATATCGACAAAGGGAAAGTACACAAGAAAATTGGCATGTACCTTTGCATCGACCAAAACAAGATCTATATGTGCTCTCGGACTATCATCAAGTGGGTGGTATTCCCATATCCCATATCAAGACATGGAGACAAACTGGAGTTTGCTTTGCTTGCTGATGTAGCATTGGAAGGAGATCAAGTGACATCTTGAAAATCTGCAGAGGAATAATTTGGTAATTGGCATACAGGAACAGGTAACCAGGCAGGCATGAGTTAAAATGAGTAAGAAGAATGTAATGGCAACAATAAATAAATCTACTCTCGCAGAGTGTGCACATGAATATGAAAATATGGCAGATTTAACCAAGAATGGAGATCGCTTAGAAATGTGAAAGAAAGAAAGGCAAATAAACATAGTCTGCATATTCATATGCAGTTAAAATTATATAATTAACAGGGGCATCCGAACTGCTACAGTAGTATATGGTTAAGAACATTGTGATGGCCATAAACTAATCAAAGAAAGAATTATTAAATATTCAATTTTCTATCATTATCGTTGTCGCTGTGGACAGATAGGCAATTCCCCTAGAACATGGAAGCAAAGAGAGAAAAAAACACCAAAAAACATTGTGAATGACCTATACACATGACTGCCCCTCAAATTAGGACAAAGATAAGGTGCAATCAAACTGTATAAAACAAATTTCAATTTTCTGAGGAGCATGAATTCTCTATCTCTGTTCCAGTAATCAAATTTTGTGACGAGCACAAACATGTTTACAAAATGGCTAAACTTTCTGCGATGATGAAGCATCTTAGAAACCAAGATTTACTATAAAATTGAAAGCCTGATAAACAGCAGTTTCTGCAGAATTACAAATTAAATCAAATTAGAAATGGTAGCACATACTCACCCAAGCATCGTCAAATTTTTTACTCCCTGCAAGAGCCAAAAAAATGCTTACATTAGTAAACACATCCTTAGCAAAAACTTATTTTGGTAGCGGTTAAAAATTTGCATTAGCTTCAGTTAGAAATTCACAAACACTCGATAGCACAATATAGGATGCCATATAAACATAAGACCATTTCATACAAGAGGCATCTATTCTCATTTTGAACATGGTCACATAGCAGCCATGTGCAACCAGATACATCAAATTTTCAATTCAATGCTAATTATTCGCAAATTCTTCAGTGCAAGCTTTTCTCGCCATGTATAGCTCTTTTAACAGAGTAATGATTGTTTCAAAATCGATTTGACATGACGCCTGTAGGATGAACTTACCGTTCCCAAACATCTTACTGACGCATATATATGGCCTAGGCTGTGCTTGCGGCTTTAGCTCCATCTCCAGATCTGGGTTTACCTGCAATTGAAGTCGCAAACATAGAAAGGGTAGAGTAAATAAGCATGAATATACAAGCCCTAGAGTATGAGCAAAGGAAATCTGAGGGTAAATGGAGCCACAGAAAAAGAGAGGTTGAGGAAAGCTAGGGTTTGGGTGCTCGGCTTCACACGGCAGGCAGAGAAAAGAAGGGGTGGGCGTACCTGGTGGGTGCCGATGGCGCCGCAGCGGGGGGAGCCCGTGGGGACGACAGACGACGCCGCCGCGGGGGGCGTGCCCACCGGACGCGGCCGCCGAGCGGACCCGCCGGCATGGCCGGCGAGGAAGAACAGCTAGGGCTTCGCCGAGCACACGCGGAGCAGCGGGAGAGGCAGCAACGAGGGGAAGCCGCGCCGGCCGCCACCGCCGGGGCCTGGTCGCGCTGCTCCGTTGCCGGGGACGCCCACCGTGGGGGCGCCGCATCCCAAGGGCGCCGTCACCGCCGCTCGCGTCGGGGGAGACGGGAGAGAGAGGGACCCGCGGCTCGCGTCGGGAGAGAGAGCGACGGGGTGAGAGAGAGAGAGAGGAAGCTGGGAGAAGAATCTGGAAGGAGAAGCGGAAGCTGAGTATATATTTGTTTCTCTGGATTCGTACGAGAAGCTGGAGAAGCTGAGGAGAAGGCGGAAAAAGTGAGAAGCAGGACGATGAGCCACTTCGGGCGAAAACCGCTTCAACAAATCTGGAACGTCCAATGGAAGATCTAACGGCCGAGAGAATTTAGAGCAACGTGGACCCGGCTTCTCCTACTGGAAGCAGGCGGCTTATTTAGGGGAGAAAATCAGAGCTGCACATTTACATTTAGGTCCTCCTTGAACCTGACAGCACCAGCGGAGGAAATAGAGGTCCAGAGTTGCGGACAACCTCCATGAGAAAGTCAGAGCCACCCGACAGACGCTGCCGCGCTTCACATGGGGCCCGCGCTGCCCGGTTTCCCGTGCCTGCGCGCCTACATATGCCGTGTCTCGATCTGCCCAGCAGCAACTGCAAATTGTACAGTGCTAGTGTAGATCTACTTTTACAACGTCTAGATGAAATACTTGCAACATACGTTCGAAATAGTTAAAACACCTGCAACATACGTATGAAACACTTGTAAAACACCAGAAAAGACATGAAACCATGTGTGTAGCCATTGCAAACATCCAGATAAAAACACTTGCAAACATACGTATGAAAACATTTGAAACACTTGCGTATATATATATGCAACATCTAGATCTACATTTGTAACATCCAGATAAAACACTTGCAACATACGCCTAAAACAGATTAAACATTGGGAACCTATACTTGAAACATACGTATATAGCTATTGCAACATGTACAGCATCCCGATCTACTTTTGCAACATCGATGTGAAAACACTTGCAACGTACCTCTGAAGCATTTGAAACACTTGAAACATACGCTTGCAACATGCGCTTTCAACGTAATATCACCTTCTGCTTGGACGAATGGAGGCTCATCGTTGTGGAGGTCGACGTAGGCGCGGAGGTCGGCGCTGGCGCATGGAGATCACCCTAGCGGAGGCAACGTCGCTGGTGCCCCCGCGGAGGCACTGCGTTGGGCGAGCACCTCGCGAGGCCACGAGAGTAGCGCTGGACGAGCACCTGCGCGAGGAGCAATTGGCGAGCACGGTGGCCTGCTCCGCGAGCACCACCAGCAACACCCCCTAGCGAGCGACCAATGGCTAACGAGCACCCCCTATCCGGCGAGCACGAGCAGGCCAGCAGCTGGCGAGCACCCTTGGCTGGCAAGCACGCAAGTTCGAGACAGGAAAAAGAGTCACAGGCTCCGTGACATCCTTCTTCTCCCTGTTGCTTCGAATAGAGAGACGGAAGCATATAGAGATTGAGAGAGAAGATAGAACCGGAGAGGATAAGTTTAGCCATATGATAGGAGTAGATATTTGTGTGGTCGAAAAAATACGTCGACCATGAGAGGCCACGTAGCGTCTGTTGTCTGAACGCGAAACGGACACTCGTGGTGAAGCATTACCGTTGTTACCAAAGCCTCAAGACAGCTGACGGCCAAGCTAACGAAAGAAAGTTGGCGTAGGCAAATATAAGTTACGCTCCAATTCTCTTCGGGGGCAATGGGATTCAGTGCTAAGTCGCTCTGCACTGCTACATCCTCGGCGATCGCCCAACGCTCCAATTACAATTCCCTACTACAAGACATTCGGGGCAAGGGGATTCGGTGATTGACGACCCTAAGCGTGCAACGACAATCTTCAAGATCAAGATTCGAGAGCGTGCTACTTTGCAGTGGCAATACCAGGAAAGAGCTACCTGTGCCCCTACCTGCCATTTCGTCAATTTTTTTGCTCGCCGTTTTTTTTTTTGCTTGCAGCATTAGTTTTGGGCACATCACAAAAAAGCCTGTCTCATGACTCGCCATTTATTCATTCAATTCAAACTAACCATCACAAAAGGTCAAAAGCGCCTGTTTCATTATGGCGGACTCGCCATTTATTCATCTATTCAACCCGAGCACAATCAGTTTCTTTCTACTGTCACTTCTGATAATTAACTAAAGAGGTTCCGCTGACTGGTTGTAATTGTACATAATCTCAATGGGATACACAGACATGCCGCACCAGAGCAAAACACGTCACAGATCCCTCGCATTCTCTCTCTCTTTGCCCTCCCTCCCCTCTCGCAAAAACTAAACTTGGAGGCTTGGCGCTGCCAAGCATGTTAGCGCCAGGTGTTCTCCCCCTCCTCTCCCATGCTTACACAGCCACAGCGCATCCACGCAATGGGTGTTTACAGCTCGTCCTTCACGGGCTCGGCCTTCTCGGCCGCATCTGCTGCCTTCTCGGAGGATGTCGGTGTCGCCTGGGTGGCGCCGGCGGTCTCCTTGCTCTTCTTGATGAAGTCGACGATGTCATCAGCCGTCCTGCCGCTGTCGTAAGAGGTGACCTTCCCGCTGGGGGTCACAAAGTACATGGTCGGGTAGCCTTGGACCTCGAACTCACTGGGTACGTCATTGGCGGTTGCATCCTGGAAACAATGTAGGGTTAAGCCACAATGGTTTTTGTAAGAAAGGTTCAGGAGTAACAGTGACAAGACTCGTGGGGAAGAAACGGACCATCTTAGCAATCACAACTTCCTCATCACTCAGGAGAGTGGTGGCTGCCTCTTCCAAGATGGGCGCCAGCTTCTTGCAGTGTCCACACCAGGGGGCATAGAATTCAATAAGAACTGCAAAAGAATTAGATATATCAGGATTATTTCAATCTATTATAAAAAAGACTTCCATCCCTGGGACAAAGACAAGAACTACATGCTAAACAGAATTAAGAACTACAGAATTAGATATATATCAAGATTATTCAATCTATTATATAAAGAATTCCATCACTGGGAAAAAGACAAGAACTGCATGCTAAACGTAATTTCTGAAATTACGCCTACCATAAACCTAATTTGATGAAATAGAACAGAATAATCAGGATGTGTACCATTTTTGCCAGACTTGAAGACAAAATCATGGATGTTGTCAGCCACAACAACCTTAACAGGCTCATTGTTGACCTCAGGAATAGGCTCAGACTTCTTGAATGGCGTCAATTTGCCATCCTACAAATATAACAGATCAATGAGCTCTACAACCATATCATATTAATTAAACAAAACAAATAATCACAAGAGTGTATTAAAGTTCAAGCAGTACTTACAAAGTACTCTTTCAACCAAGAGACAATCTGGTCAGCCTCAATGTGATCCTTCAAGAACTTCTTGGAATCACCATCCTGGATGAGGATAAGGGGTGTCTGGTCCTCTTTCAGACCAAAGTACTGTCATTTCAACAGTTTGACTGTTAGGATAGAGGGTTTTGGTAAAAAATTAAAAAGCATCATGTAGAAGGGGAAGTGAGAACCAAACCTGGAAGGCACCCTGGCTGGCTTCAATGTCACCAATAAGGAACTTGATTTCCTTGTTCTGGAATTCCTCTGCAGCAGCAGAGTAAACAGACTTGAAAGAATCAAAAGGTCCAGTGGAGAAGTTCAAAAACAGCATAGCCTGCCAAACATTTGGTGTCACAGAACAGTGAAAATAGTCAGTAATAAGTTTAAAACATTGCGCAATGCTGTAAACATCCTTTTCCAACCCACAAGAATTCAAACTAGAAAATTTAAAATATGAATAGAACAAGCTGTTACATAAATCCAGAAACTTCGTTGATGGCACTAGAAATATACTTCACAATAAGTGATGCAGACTCCAAATTGCCAAGCATTGCATTCATTCAATAGAGTTAACATGGCACACTAAAGCTAGTTGGATGCAGACATGGATCAAATTGAGTTGATATCCAGTAGTAAATAAAGTTACAAAAAAATGACCAAGTTAACTAACAATTGGCCGATAGAAGTACTCAAACTATTTCGAGCAGAAATGTCATGTTATTACCTTGGGGGCTGTGCTTTGGAAGAACTTCATGAGGTATGGGTGGTTGTCAGGGTTCTTGTCAAAAGTGACAACTCTAGGGGTGCTGGTAGCATCAATAAACTTCTCAAGAGCAGCGACATCAAAATCCTGCACAATGTAGCAGCAATGTGTCACTAACGACAATCACATGGCATTAATATAGATGGTATGCTTAATTATCAGTATGAAATCCATGAGTGCTACCAAAACTATCACCAAATGTAACAGAGAAGGTGAGTAAAACCTTGCTGTCAACAACAAGCTCATCAAAAGGCTTCAGCAGCCTGACCAATGGCCTCTCCACAGCTGCATCACCACGTGGGAGGTGGTTGGCGTGCAAAGTGTGGCTAAAGTCATAGTCAGACCTGAGCTTCTCAGCGACCTCCATGAAGTTTGTAAATTCAGTGCCGCTGAATTCTTTGAAGACACCAACCTATAAAATTGCAATTATTATGTATAGTCAGTTGTCAGTTCAAGAGCATCACTTGGCCTGCACATCATAATACAGATTAAATGATTACTAAATAAAAACACATGGAAACTTTGAATTAGAAGCTTACAATGTAGATCTTCTTGTCATCGAAATGGGTCGCAACATCTTCCGGTGACTTGAGCTCCTTGGACGCAGGGCCAACCTGCTTCTTCAAGTAATCGACAATGCCATCAGCCTCCCTAGGGCCCTTGTATTCCTGAATGTTCTTCCCCTGGTTCCTGAAGATCTTGAGGGTTGGGAACCCTTGGACCTCGTACTTGGTAGCAAGCGGCCTGTTCTTCTCCTCGTTAGCATCAACCTTAGCGAGAACAATCGGTGGGTCGTGCTTGCTAAGTGCCTTGGCCGCATTCTCATACTGAAACATCACAGAAAACGCAGTTTAGCATATGAGACCGAACCAATCAGAACACAGACTTTCTGTAAGTAAAGGGAGTGACCACAGGATAGGAGAAGCATTATTACCTCTGGAGCAAGTTTCTTGCAGTGTCCACACCTGCAAATTCGGTTTGACCACTTTAGCTACAACAATTAATAGAGATCATGTAACGATAGCAACAGTGAAAACACATAAGCAACACATCAGCGAAGTTGCCAACTTGCGAGTGTGCCCCAACAGTAATCACACAGAAACAATACCACCTCAGTATAATTGCAAGTGCGGGCCTAATTCTGCATACATGTGACAACAACAAAAAAGCATCGCACAGACGTCAAATCAAGCACACCAACCGCAGAAAACGAACAAAACCGGCGATTCATCATCCTTGAGCCACCGAGTACACCAGACCAAACAACAGATCCACGAAAACAACTACTACCAGAACTTAGCACTACTCATCTGAGTGTGGAACTGGAACTTCGCGCTGCCTCAGGGGTGCACAGAAAACAAAAGAAATCCACGCTACGAACAGCGACCAAAACAAATCCGGGCGAAGAACAGCGACCAAATCAGCGCAACCGCGACCCCAAACGGCCCGTCACATCACCAAAACCCAATCCGAGCACAAGTCCCGCATCTGAACAGTACCACCCAACCAAGCATCTCTCCAAGCCCACAGCGGAATCTCCGATCCGAACCCGCTAAACCCTCGCGACCCAAGAGAGAGATCTACCCGTACGAATCGGTCAAGCGGGGGGTAGCGCGCGCGAGCTACTCACCAGGGGGCGTAGAACTCGACGACCATGAAGGGGTGCTTGGCGACGGCCTCGTCGAAGCTGTCGACGTCGAGGGTGAGCACGGCCTCGGCCGCACCCTCCGAAGCGGCGGCGGCGGGCTCCTCCGCCCGCGCGGGGAGCGCGACGGCGGCGAGCGCGAGCAGCAGCGAGATCCAGCAGGCCTTGGAGGAGCGGATCGCCATGGCGGAGCAGCGCAGTGTGGCTTGCCCGGGTCAGATTTCGTCCGTAGGAGGAGTCCACAGTGGGGTTTAATAGGGCGGGGCACGCGAGAAGGCCACAGGGGCGCGGGACCGGCGGCGGGCGGGCCCGCTCGCGGGGGTCACGAGATATTTGCAGGGCCACGTTTGCGGTTGGGTCCCTGTGGTTATCGCGAATGGCTTCGGATAATCGGCGTCATTAAGAGGCGCTAAAGGATGGTGGGATAGGAAAAGACCGTGTCGCCTGCTTTTTTAGGATGTAATTAATCATAAATTAGGGGGGCTATAAACAGTGGGCGGTCCTAAACAGGAGTAGGCTGTGTAGAGTGTCCTTGCACGGCTCGCGCGCGTGCCACGCGCCGCCGGGGACTTTTGTGGCGGGCGGCCACGTACATGGGCGGGGCATGGACCTATGGGGGCGCGCCACGTCACGGATGTGACATGTCCACGGCCTCTGATTAGCCGCGCGACGTAGTAGGCCGTAGGCGTATATACGGATCAGGAGACGTGGAGAGAGGTGGGGCGAATACCGTATATTGCTGTGAACATGATGATATGTATAGGAGTGTAGGATTAAATTAAATTAAATTTAATTTAATACGGTTTTGTGAGAAAGGCCCGGTTCATTTCTCTTATAATCTTTTTTTTAGTTTTATTTTTTAATCGAAATAGTATTTTTTTCACAGTAAATCAGTTAGATCAGAATTTCGACTTGTTTTTTCAACGAAACGAACGGTGCCAAAATTAAAATGGACCGTATGTGTTCGACATAGGGGCGTATTGTTGGCAGCAAGGGGCACTGGGGATCGGAGGAATCGGAATTGGAGACCAGAAGTACGGCAAGAGATAGAAACTAAATGAAAGTTCTTAGTAGGAAGGTTCAAAGTTTACAATACTGCAATCCGAATATAATCCCAGGGAGGAAGTACAGCAGGGAATTAGGAACAGAGAAGCAGAGCTATCTACTAGAAGTAATCTGGGTACAGAGAGAGGGATGAGGAAGATGAGCAGCAAGCAGAGGAAGGAGGAAGATGAACAGTAATAATATTTCTTCGATGCCTTCTCTGGGAATCCACCGATGCCTTTGTTAGGGCCTGTTTGGTATCTACGTGAAATCCTAAAATTTCTGTCAGATCGAATGTTTGTTTCATGTATGGAGTATTAAATATAGACTAATTACGAAACTAATTGCACAACTTGCGACTAATTTGTGAGACGAATCTTTTAAACCTAATTAGTCCATGATTTGACATCGTGGTGCTACAGTAAACATTTACTAATGATGGATTGATTAGGCTTAAAAAATTCGTCTCGCAAATTAGTCTCCATCTTTGTAATTGATTTTGTAATTAATCTATATTTAATGCTCCTTATTAGTATCTAAACATTCGATGTGATATGAATTTTAGGAGCGACTAAAGAACCAAATACCCCCTTAGCCAGCGGAAGTAGCATCGCCAATCTGTCCCTCCTAGGCCCACATGGTAGTGATACTAACACGTATTTACTGGTCTTGGAATGGTAGATTTTTCACGAGCATGGTATAATAGCCCCTATTTGGTATGGCTCCTCAGACGGCTTTCGAATATGTCCCGTTCGGCTTACCCAAAAACCGGCTTGTTCGGCTTGTTTTTTCAGTCGGAACAGTGTTTTTCTCTCACGATAATTCATCCAGAACAGTGTTTTCAGCCAGTTTCAGTAAGCCGAACGAGGCCTATGTTTTACAGCTCCACCAAGCAAACGGTCTGCTATCAAACTGCTCCTCGCAAGAATTCCATGAAAACCCGATGAGTGGAGGTGGAGAGCACGACTGGGTCTAAAAAGACCAGCTTTCTCCAGCACCATGGTGAGACACGCACGGGCCCAAGACATATTGGATGCAGATGCCCCGATGCGCGGTAGAGGAGACCTGAGAGGGTGGCGGCAACTGTGGAGGCACGCGCGACGGAGATGACAGTGGCCTCAGGCACACGATTGCTAGGGCAGCATGGCGGCCGGGGCGCCGTTGCCGTCGGGGCACCGTTGCCGCTAGGGTGTCGTTGTCGTTGCTGCCGGGACGCACGGTCCATGCTGCGCTGGGGACGCGAGGGCGCTGGGCGCGGAGACTAGCGCGGCGGCCGGTGTGGTGAGGGGCGAAGGAGGATGTGATGCATGAGGAAGATGTTGTCCATGTGGAAGAAAAAAAGAGAAAGAAAAAAAAGAAAAAAGAGAAGGACACTATGGATATTTCACTCTTTCTAACCGTCTTCAAAACTGCTTTCGCTTCACTAGAGAATTTACTCCACCATAGAAGTCAGAGCTCCAAACTGTTTTTATCACTACTTAAGTTCTGCCAAAGAGGCTCACATTCCTAGGACATGTTCGCTTGAACTTATCAGTCTGATTTACTAACTATGTAACAGTATTTTTCTCTCACAACAAATCAGTTTCAGTCGGCTTATTAGCCGAACAGCTTGTTATATTGTACTGCCGTACTGGGGTGATGCTATATTGTTGTTGTCTCTTCATTCATGTGCGTGCGTATATGGATCGATCATGACTTCACGAGACCGGATCCTGTCCCTGACAGCTAATCATACACCGCCAAGACAATGCACGATCCATCAATACATTGTGCCCTGTTTGGTCACAGGTAGATAGTAGCTACTCCCTCTATGCTAAAAAAAGTCGTTTTGTCTACTGGGATGGTTTTCACAAATAAAGTCGTTTAGCATCCTTCCACACCGTTTTAGACGAAGTTGCCCCCATCCTTCGTCTCCCGTGCCCCGAGCCCCGACGCTAGTAAGTCCCCAGGTGGGTATTAAATCGATCGTGTCTCCTCGATCACGTCGCGCATCCAAGGAGAGAGACTGCGCTTGCTTGCTATCGGAGGACGAAGAAGAGATGAGTGTAACAGAACCGACCAATTATACAAAATTAAGTAAGAAAATCATCCGCCAGAGCAGACGATTTAGCAAACTTAAGCCCGTATAACCCGGTAGTCCGTAAAATCACGAAGGATTCAAACCAACTTCCATTCTAGCCAAGATCGTAATAAGTTTAGCGGTCACCATCACATATTACATAAAAGTTTGCATCTCAGATACATCAGAGTTTAAACATAGTTATTACAAAATGAGTTCAAATAAAAGTAGCGGAAGCCATTTGTTTAAAACATAATTATTCCTCTAGCTCATCGATCCTCTGCAGCAGAAGGTCCCTCTCGTCCCAGGCTTCATTCCTTTCCTGAACCAACTGTCCAATAATGCGGTCTGCATTGTTGTTGGCTTGAGTCAACGTATGCACCCGCTGCATAGCTCTATCACCTCTCTCAACACTTTGGTTCATTGTGTAAGTTCATATCGCCTAATCTTTGCTCCCGCAAGCTAGCTATAAGCGTGCCTATCTCTTCTTCTGATTTCTCCCCTTGAGCTTATCCTGACCACGCAAGCCAGTCAAAGTCCAGTAGGTACTCTCGAGACCCTCATACGCTCTGATGGCGGCGAACATAGCACTCAAAGAATGGTTGTCGCTAGCCTGTCCCTCAGCTGGACCTCTGACCAAGGCGCTTCCCTGAGGCTGAACCCAAATGGCATCACGAGGATCATCCCTAGAAAAAGTGCCGCCTAGAGTCTGCTGCAAGCTCATCGGGAAATCTGCTCATGATATCCCCGATGACACGTAAGGTATGCTCCCTCTGCACCCTCAAAGCAGAGTGCGACCCTCAAACTCAAGTGCCAACCATCCCAATCTAGAGCATCACCGAGAGCGAGAACCGTGATCTCTACCACTGCAAGTCCATCCTCTGCTAACTGGCTCTCATTCCAAGAGTACACCGGCTCTTGACCCTCTGGGTACCCCACATCATGGAGCACTCTCCAAAGCAAGGTCAGCATGCCAAACTCGCTCAAGAAGGTGTCCGTGGTGCGGTGCTCCTCGAGGCCAACAGGACGTCGAGGTGCTCTTCCTCCGGTGGACTTACTGGGCGATGCCGCTTGTGCGGGCCATCTGTAGCAAAAGTTCTTTTATTACCCCAGGGAAACATATTTTAGGTGATACAACTTTTATCAAAATGAGATAATCAATTTATAAGGGGAGGAATGCATGACATGAATGAAATGCACAAGTAATATGATGTATGTACGTACCGTACGTTCTCACAAACTTATGAAATAAATAAGTCTAGCGACGAATTTGGTGGCATACAAACGATCTCTCAAATACATAACTAATACGTTCTACACGATAGCATTGTTATGTACCTGCAGAAGATTCATTTTAGCCCAATTCCCAATGAATGCATAAAAGCAGTAAAATTTTTATCTACACGCTCTACATGAATCCCCAGATACGTGTATAACGGTAGTAACTACCCGAACCATCGTCCTATTGACGGCATCGCCTCAACAGACAGAATACCCACACATGAGATACCTTTGTAAAACATGCGTAGAACATGTAATTACTCCAGCATCATATAAGCATTCACCCTAGATCGGCGGTGTATCCAATCCTGCTCTGACAACTCACACTCTCCAACAAAAGCATTAGACGAGACGTACGGAATGACCATGCCCATGGTCCTAAGCATCATCCATCGCAGGATAGAGGCAGTTGATACAGTAGCCGTAATACATCTGTCCATCTGCAACAAGTGGGAATAAAACCCTGAGTACGAGAAGGTACTCAGCTAGACTTACCCGACATAACCGAAAATAAAGTGACACCAAGGATTATGAAGGGCTTTATAGTAGGGTAGCTGACTCATTTATAAAGAAAGCATTTTTAGCATTTCAAAAACCTTTCTAAAGACATTATTGCCAAGTTAATTAATTATAACCTATCGACTAGATTTGCACCTATACTAGAGCAAACATGTGATTAAGCCAATAATGATAACCAATGATCATTAACCACTTCCATATTGTCATATGCATTATAACTGTCCAAGTGTTCCATTAACATTACTACGATGAAGTAACTCAAGTCAAGTGCTCACTATCCTG